AGCTTTTGGCTCATTACCTATGCAGTCTGCCAGGGCGCCTGCTTTTGTCTTCAGCCTGGGTAAACCACATTTGTTCTGAACTCACCCACATGACGGACGGGCTCAGGCCTCATCTGGGCTCAAGGGTCCATCCGCACACGTCGGTCTCGCCTCCCTGGGGCTTCCTGTGACCATGGACGGTGGCAGCAGGGTGTGTGCGCCACCTCCATCCCCTCCCCAACTCCCTGGCCAAGGGCGAGGGGAGTGTGTGGTCCATGTTTATTGAAACGTGGAGGACCACCCGGGACGGACCCCTGGGAGGTCACGGGATTCCCGTCAGGGAAGGCTCACGTCCATCAAGAGGAACCGGGCTTGGGAATGGCCTAGGTGTGTGCCTGCCAGCTGAGGTCTGGGGGATCCAGGCTGGGTGACCCAGGAGGGGAGTCCCCCGAGGTGGCCAAGGGCAGAGTGGGACCGGGGCAGGAGGGGCTGGAAGGAGCCAGGTCCCTCGCAGGGTGGCTCAAGGCTCCTGGCTTCACCCCTGGCACCTGGTCCCCAGGCGGTTCTGGACATCGAGACACGGGCTTGGCTTTGACAACCTGAGAAGCTAGAGTCATTTTTCAGCTGGTCAGCAGGGAGGGTGTCCTGGTGTCCTCACATGAAGGGTCCTCACCAGAGCAGCAGACCAAGGCACCGATTCGTGAAACGACATGGTGGACGCCTGTTCCCAAACCACAGAAAAAATGAGCAGAAATGCCCCAGCTTTGGGCAGTGGAAGCGTCACTCAAAAAATTGTGGGGGCTGGGAATATGCTAGGTGGGTTTTCCAGGCAGCTGTGGACAGCCCAAGGCGGCCCCTCCCACCCCACTGCCAGGGTTCATGACACACGTGGAACCACAGTGTAAAATCCAGCGCCAGGAATCCACGGGATGTGCCCCTTCTGCCTTGAGGCAGTTCCCTCACCTACCCTTGAACCCAGAGTCGTCCTCCTACCCTGTCCCTGCAATCTCAAGCATGCCTGGGCTCCCAGCCAGCCTCCTGGGTGGGCCCGGCATGGTTCCCCCGCGGGTGTCTTCTTAGCCTGCCAAGCCAGAGGCCTACTGTGCACTGACAGCTGGCTGCCAAGGGTCCCTCACCTCGCCTCTGCCCGTCCAAGCCCGACCCCTCACCCCCCATCAGTCTGGCAGCGCTCTGCATCTTCGCCCTAGGCAGGCAGGGGCCTGGGACCGCCGCCCACATCCAATCCATGCTGGGGTCCTGCTGCCATCACCCCCAAACCTCTCTGGGGTGATGCCCTCACCTCTCCCCACTCCCTGCTGCCATCTGCTCTGCGAGATCACAGCAGTGACAGCCCCCTCTGTCCTCTCCCCCACCTGCAGAATCTTTCCAAGTTCCGATCTAAACTCCTCCCTGCCTAACTCCCCAGGGGCTTTTCTTGGCCTCTGGGTTTGGAAAAAAGCCCTCAGAACCCCTCCAGGTCTTCCCTGGGCTGCCTCTGCCCGCCAATCCGGCCTCGCCTCTCACAAGCGGCCTCCACTTCTGGGCCTCCACCACACTCTTGCATTTCCCCGTCAACGTCGTTTCTTGGGTGCTGGCCTGAGCCCACTCCCTGGGCGCCCGGGTCATTACTTCTCCTGCACCTCTCAAAGGAGCTCTCTGTGGTCCCTGAACTTGCTCATGTCTTTGTGTTAGCTGTGCTCATTTACTTATTTGTTTATGAGTTGGGGTCTCACTCGGTCACCCAGGCTGGAGCACAGTGCCACCATCATGGCGCATGGCATCCTCGACCTCCTGGGCTCAGGCGATCCTTCTGTGTCAGCCTCCCAAGTAGTTGGGACTACAGTTGTGCACCACCACGCCTGGCTAACTTTTTTATTTTTTTTGGTGACAAGGTCTTGCTATGTTGCCCAGGCTTGTCTTGAACTCCTGGGCTCAAGTCAACCTCCCTCCTCAGCCTCCCAAAGAGGTTACAGGTGTGAGTCACTGTGTCCAGAAATGTTTGTCTTAAAAAGTTTTTATTTTGGGGGGAGGGAGGTAGAGACAAGATCTCACTATGTTGCCCAAGCTGGCCTCAAACATTGGGCTCAAGTGATCCTCCCACCTCGGCCTCCCAAAGTGCTGGGATTTCAGGTGGGAGCCACCACTCCTGACCTGATGTGCTCATTTCTTTCGTGGTCCTTACCATGGTTGTCATTGAACGTGTGGCTGGGCAATCGTTCTGGTGACATCTGTCTCCATTGCACTGCAGATGCCACCAGGCCAGGCACGGGTCTGGCTCTGCCCCACCCTTATATCCCCAGCGCTAAGCACGTTTGTTAAGACAGGATTGGAACAAGTGCCAGCCTTGAGAAAGTGATTTCCGCCTCCAAGCCTCCATCTACCAATACCACTGCTTCCCCGGGGGCTGTCTCAAGCGTACAAAGTCTCCCGTGCTTGCAGATAAATGACACATGGCCTCCCTGCCCCAACCTGGTAGCAGCTCTCTCCAGGTCCACCTCTCAGGCCTCACAGGCAGGCTGCGGCAGGCCGGCAGAAGGACCAGTCCCCAAAAGGGTGGCCGCCAAGACCAGAGACCTCAACGTGGGCTCCCTAAGGCTACTCCGTTAGCCTCACCGGCTTCCCACGGTCTCTGCCTCTTTCTGTCCTTCTGTCCCACCTGTCTTGCCGCCGCCTCCTCTGACCTCTCCTGTCATATCAGAGAAACAACCCTGAGTTGCAGGTGCTTTGGGGAAGAGTCTCAGGCCCCTTGGTGCTCCCACCGTGGCCAGGAAAGTGCTGGGCACACAAGAGGGCCCTCCAGAATGCCTGGGAACCCACGGGAGAAGCCAAAACCCATTTCTGCGAATGGCGTGGCTCAGAAATCTGGGTACCGTGATGTTAGCAACGCTGCAAGCTGCGATTTCAAAACAAACAGCCAAATACATGCAGGTGACCTCGGACAACATGGGTTTGAACTGCACGGTACCCTCATGTATGGATTTACTTATGTCTCTGCCACCCCCAAGGCGGCGAGACCAAACCCTCCTCCTCCTCCTCAATGCGAAGATGGCGAGGATGAAGGCTTTTATGATCCACTTCCAGTTCATGAGGAGTAAATAGATGTTCTCTTCCCGATGACTTTTTTTTTTTTGAGTTGGAGTCTCACTCCGTCGCCCAGACTGG